TAATCTAAAGAGACAAAGTATGAAAGGGAAACCAGAGTCATAGAGAGATGAAGTGACTGTCGAAGTTCACACAGTAAATTAGGAGAGGAGGCAGGCCATTACCCTATCCATTGGGCCATACTGCCTCCAAGTGGCTTTACTAAAACCATTGTAGTTAGTTACTGCAAACTTAATGGGGTTATCACAGATCTCTTAGCTGATCCTACCTAGCCACCATTCCATACCACCACTCCAACTTGGATTGCTGGGTTTGGATGCTGCAGTGTGGAGGGAAGGGTGGTTACTTTGGTGCGAATCTTGCATACAATGAAGCGGAGGCTTCTTTGGTGAAGGCTACTTCATTGGCTTTTGTAGGCTGAAAGTTGTGTGTTCTGTTTGTGTGCCTTCAGGCAAGGATCCATTTGGAATTGATGTTGTTATAATAAATAATAGTCTTTTGTCTAATTATAAATTCTTTGAATGTTGTATTATTAAGTAAGTTTATTGCTGGTGAAAGTTGCCCGACTAATTGCCTATATTGTGTGTGTGTGTTCTTTTGATAAATCAAGTACTTGGTTTTCCTTGGCTTTGAAAGCTCAAGCTTGCTAGCATGCCTCAACCATGATCGCACCATGAAGGTAATTAACCTGTGGAACAATTTACCAAGGGTTGTGGTAGATTCTCCATGAGTGGTAATTTTTAAATCAAGATTGGATGTTCTTCCAAAAGATATACTCTAGGGATTATTTTGGAAGGGGGCGGGGAATTCTATGGCATCTGTAATGCAAGATGTCAGACTAGATAATCACAATGGTCCCTTCTGGCCTTGGAATGGTCCCTTCTGGCCCTTGAAGCCAACATCTGGTATGTGGGACTGAATCAGTTTCTTCTAAGAGTGCCAAAAATAGTGCTAGTCGTGGTAATGGTTCTTTTGATGAGGACATTTTTGTGCCCAAGGAATTGTACTGAGTTCAGTAACAATGGTTTCCTTTCTTCTAGCTCTTAATATGTGGTAGCTATTGATTCAAAAAAATTATACTTGTGCTAGTTACTGTCAGTCTTTAGGAGTCCAGAATGGAGGTCTTGAGAAACGAACTGTGCTTTAACTAAAAAGAAAAGGAGTACTTGTGGCACCTTAGAGACTAACAAATGTATTTGAGCATAAGCTTTCGTGTAGCATAAGCTTTCGTGTAGCTCATGAAAGCTTATGCTCAAATAAATGTGTTAGTCTCTAAGGTGTCACAAGTACTCCTCATTCTTTTTGCAAATACAGACTAACACGGCTGCTACTCTGAAACCAGTGCTTTAATTGTAAGCAGTTTTTAATTGGACTGCCTTCTCACATTATGTCTTGCTTGAGCTGCTATTGTGATATGATCTCAACTAAAATATGACTAAATTAAAACAGAGCAATAACAAAGTAGTTGTAAGAGATGGTATATACTTAATTACTATATGAATGACCTCATATTTATTAAAATTGTTGTTTAATGTATATGGATGTTTTTGACCGTTTATTGCTTAGTGTAGCTGGAGAAATGCCAGCAGCCATATGGAATACTCATTCTACCTCCACTTAAGTGATAGCAGGTGTAAATGCAAGGAAAGGAAGCTTTAGGCATGTATGATTTGCATATTATACTTATTAGCTTCTTGGTTATGAAATATTATCAAAGTTAGCAAAAAGAAAAGGAGTATTTGTGGCACCTTAGAGACTAACCAATTTATTTGAGCATAAGCTTTCGTGAGCTACAGCTCACTTCATCGGATGCATTCAGTGGAAAATACAGTGAGGAGATTTATATACACACAGAACATGAAAAAATGGGTGTTATCATACACACTGTAAGGAGAGTGATCACTTAAGATGAGCTATTACCAGCAGGAGAGCGGGGGGGCGAAGGGGGGGGAAAACCTTTTGTAGTGATAATCAAGGTGGGCCATTTCCAGCAGTTAACAGGAACGTCTGAGGAACAGTGCGGGGTGGGGAAAATAAACATGGGGAAATAGTTTTACTTTGTGTAATGACCCATCCACTCCCAGGCTCTATTCAAGCCTAAGTTAATTGTATCCAGTTTGCAAATTAATTCCAATTCAGCAGTCTCTGGTTGGAGTCTGTTTTTGAAGTCTTTTTGTTGTAATATTCCAACCTTTAGGTCTGTAATTGAGTGACCAGAGAGATTGAAGTGTTCTCCGACTGGTTTATGAATGTTATAATTCTTGACATCTGATTTGCGTCCATTTATTCTTTTAAATAGAGACTGTCCAGTTTGACCAATGTACATAGCAGAGGGGCATTGCTGGCACATGATGGCATATATCACATTGGTAGATGTATAGGTGAACGAGCCTCTGATAAGGTGGCTGATGTGATTAGGCCCTATGATGGCGTCCCCTGAATAGATATGCGGACACAGTTGGCAACGGGCTTTGTTGCAAGGATAGGTTCCTGGGTTAGTGGTTCTGTTGTGTGGTGGCTGGTGAGTATTTGCTTCAGGTTGGGGGGCTGTCTGTAGGCAAGGACTGGCCTGTCTCCCAAGATTTGTGAGAGTGATGGGTCGTCCTTCAGGATAGGTTGTAGATCCTTGATGATGCGTTGGAGAGGTTTTAGTTGGGGGCTGAAGGTGATAGCTAGTGGTGTGCTGTTATTTTCTTTGTTGGGCCTCTCCTTGATTATCACTACAAAAGGTCTCTCCCCCCCGCCATTTTTTCATGTTCTGTGTGTATATAAATCTCCTCACTGTATTTTCCACTGAATGCATCCGATGAAGTGAGCTGTAGCTCACGAAAGCTTATGCTCAAATAAATTGGTTAGTCTCCAAGGTGCCACAAGTCCTCCTGTTCTTTTTGCGGATACAGACTAAGACGGCTGCTACTCTGAAACCTATCAAAGTTAGGTGGATCTTATTTATAAGCATAGGGCTGCATGAGCACAGGAAGTTGCAGCTGCTGTTTTCATGGGAGTAGACAGAGCATGCAATATATTGATGCTGCTCCACCAAGCTATGTGATTTGTAAAAATAAGGGCATAAATCTACAATCTGAAGCCAAATCTTTCCCTAGTGTAACTCTACTGATTCCAGTAACATTATACCAAGGCTGAATTTGGTTTATTGCCTCTTCAGAAAAAAAAAAACACTATTTTTATTCCATAAAGATGATCTGTTTTCATACTTTGTCATTCTAGGTGAATTAGCCATTTGTACTTTCTCTGCATTTTTTTTTGTCCTGCGATATTTCTAATGGGAGAAAATTGTTAGTTTCTAATAAAACATATCGATTATGGTAAGAAACTGTATGAACTGTAAATAGCCTACTCTGTGCTCCTCACAATGGTCAATGGTATTCAATGGGGTATTTAATGGTGACTGGCTGACACTTACCAAACAAAGGCAGAGAAGTCTTTCATTGTTAGAGTTTGTTCTCTACCTAGCCTTGAATGTTCATTTCATTAACACAAGATAATGGTTCATTCTCTTTCTTTGCAGCTCTAGATAGTTAGGTATTTAACAAGTCAATGCTGAATTTCAAAGCCCAAATCCACAACTGTCTGCAGTAGAGCCCACTGATGAACATCAGAACATTAGATTACCAGATTTATGGATATATTTAAATCCATAAAAATGAAAGATTAAAAACTGACTTCTTGATAATATTTAAAAACTCACAGTGCCAGTTTTATTGCTACTCATTTTTAGAAAACAGAATACTGATGAATTTGGATTTAGCCTAAGTGAGTTATTATCACTGAGAAACTCTCTGAAGCCAGTAAAAAGAAAAGGAGTACTTGTGGCACCTTAGAGACTAACCAATTTATTTGAGCATGAGCTTTCGTGAGCTACAGCTCACTTCATCAGATGTTTACCGTGGAAACTGCAGCAGACTTTATATACACACAGAGAATATGAAACAATACCTCCTCCCACCCCAAGGCCAGTCCTTGCCTACAGACAGCCCCGCAACCTGAAGCAAATACTCACCAACAACCACATACCACACAACAGAACCACTAACCCAGGAACTTATCCTTGCAACAAAGCCCGTTGCCAATTGTGCCCACATATCTATTCAGGGGACACCATCACAGGGCCTAATAACATCAGCCACACTATCAGAGGCTCGTTCACCTGCACATCCACCAATGTGATATATGCCATCATGTGCCAGCAATGCCCCTCTGCCATGTACATTGGTCAAACTGGACAGTCTCTACGTAAAAGAATAAATGGACACAAATCAGATGTCAAGAATTATAACATTCATAAACCAGTCGGAGAACACTTCAATCTCTCTGGTCACGCAATCACAGACATGAAGGTCGCTATCTTAAAACAAAAAAACTTCAAATCCAGACTCCAGCGAGAAACTGCTGAATTGGAATTCATTTGCAAATTGGATACTATTAATTTAGGCTTAAATAGAGACTGGGAGTGGCTAAGTCATTATGCAAGGTAGCCTGTTTCCTCTTGTTTTTTCCTAACCCCCCCCCCCCCGATGTTCTGGTTTAACTTGGATTTAAACTTGGAGAGTGGTCAGTTTAGATGAGCTATTACCAGCAGGAGAGTGAGTTTGTGTGTGTATGGGGGTGGGGGGGATGTGAGAAAACCTTGATCTATGCAGGAAATAGCCCGACTTGATTATGTAAAGAATTGTCACTTTGGATGGGCTAGCACCAGCAGGAGAGTGAATTTGTGTGGGGGGGTGGAGGGTGAGAAAACCTGGATTTGTGCTGGAAATGGCCCACCTGTTGATCATTTTAGATAAGCTATTACCAGCAGGACAGTGGGGTGGGAGGAGGTATTGTTTCATATTCTCTGTGTGTATATAAAGTCTTCTGCAGTTTCCACGGTAAACATCTGATGAAGTGAGCTGTAGCTCACGAAAGCTCATGCTCAAATAAATTGGTTAGTCTCTAAGGTGCCACAAGTACTCCTTTTCTTTTTGCGAATACAGACTAACACGGCTGTTCCTCTGAAATCTGAAGCCAGTGGTAACTGTTTTCTTTCTCTTCTTTGTTTAAGGGTTAAAGCTAAGTGAGCCAACCATGACCGGCAAAACACAGACCAGCAATGTCACCAATAAGAATGACCCTAAGTCAATCAACTCCAGAGTCTTCATTGGCAATCTGAACACAGCCATTGTCAAAAAAGGTGACATAGAGGCAATCTTTGCAAAGTACGGAAAAATAGTTGGCTGCTCAGTGCACAAAGGTTATGCATTTGTACAGTATATGAGTGAGAGGCACGCAAGGGCTGCAGTGGCAGGAGAGAATGCCAGGATCATTGCAGGACAACCACTCGGTAAGTGTTTATAGGCTATTTTTAATGGCAGAAATTGTTTGGTTGTATTAATTTCTCTTCTCTTTCCCCTGTTTATTAACTATCTTCGGTGCTGAATGTTGGTTTTGGTTGTTTCTTTGTTTGTTTCAGTCATAGCTCTAGGAAACGGAACTGGGGAAAGTGTTTTTTAAATGTCAGCTAGGTTTAATGAAATGGCCGTTGAATGCTATTAAGTACTGTGTGGTTAAATACTTTTTTTCCTCAATATTTATAGTTGTTACATTCCAATTAATAACTAAATAATTCAAAAGGCCTCAATCTTGCCACAGTTATGCACATGCTTAACTTGAAACAGAGTCATCCTGTTGAAGTCAGTAGGATTATGCATGCAAGCAAAATTACACATGTTTTCAGGATCAGGCCCAAGATTCGTAAATATAACATGTTATACAGTGTTATAATTTGCAGAACAATGTGTGTGTAGGGGACGCAGTGTGTGAGCACATATACAAGTGGACCAGTGGGATATCATGTACCCAATCCAGCAGATCCGGTGTATCTGCCTGGACAACTAATTCCTCCATAAGGGCCCTTTGAAATGATTTCCAGCTCACTCTCACCCCCCCATGGATGGACAGCATAGTGGCTGTGCACGCTTTTCCTGCAGCCAGGCCCCGAAACAATAGGTTTCACAGGTCAGAACTTAATGCTGCATGAAAGAAGGTGAGACTTCCTAGGGAAGCATGCCGAACAGAGCAGCTTTTCCCCAGCTGTCCCTCCCAACTTTTCACATGGCTATGCCTCTTGAAATTGCCAGGAGCCCTACCCATGCATTATATCTGTGGAAGGTCCTCCTTTTTTCCAGGAACCAGGTTGGGAACATGCAGCACTGAATCCCAGGACCAGAATCATACCATCTGTGTATATTTGCTGCTTCTAGGCTGGCAACAGCCACACAGGATACATTTTGGGCTGTTAAATATCAAGAAATGGTTTTGATATTTGACTTTCACAACTAAGTCTTCACACATGCACAGAAACTGCATTTATCAGACTGATTCTAAAGCTGTGCCCAGTTCATACTTTGGTAGCATATCAGATCTTAGATAGCAGAAGCAAGAGGATGAGCTATGTTAATTGTTTAAATGGTGCCAAGTCACGTGTCTAGAGGGACGTTATATTGAAAATTTAGGCACCTTATGCAGAGGTGCGCAATTCCACGTAGCATCAGTTGGTCCTGCACTTGCTTATCTGGAATTAAAAAAAAGAATTTGGCCCCTTTGAACTGAATCTAAACAGAAATAGATTTTTATTTGCTTGTGTTTTTACATATTCTTATATAGAGTCTTGATTTTTCTCATGGAAGCTGTTCTCCATCTGTCAAAGTTAACTGCTTTTAGGTAAAATGCCTCTCAATAAAAATCACTTACAGCATTCAGCCATGCAGTTTGTGAGAAGTCTGGGAAAACTGGATAATATGACAGGATATTTTGGTTAGAAGTTCATAGTTGTTTTGCTGAATCCACAGTGAGTATATCTAGGCTAGGAAAAATGTCAAGGTTAGCTACAGTGATTATTGGCTAACTTTGACTTAACTTTGCCTACTTTTAGTAGTCTACGAAGTGAGCTTTGGCTCAGGAAAGCTTATGCTCAAATAAATCTGTTAGTCTCTAAGGTGCCACAAGTACTCCTTTTCTTTTTGCATGTATCCTTTGTGCATTCCTGCTAATTTGGTGTGAAATCTCAGTGCTTCTTAGCTGTTGACACAAAACATAAGACATTTCTCTTAGCACTTGAAAGATGTTTTAAAAGCTATAAACTACTTTAAAAGAGTGACAATTAAATAACACCCAAGTAAATGAAACCACCAATGGCCTGATTCAGCAGAAATTATCTGTAGCCTGCTGCAACACATAAGCTTGGAGTAGTTGTAAGATACTGTGGAGAATGGTTAGTTGTCAGGATGACTAATTCATCACAAATTTCTTAAGCCTTTGGTAGCTAGTTTGCTGAATATTTGTAGAACTGACCTTTTATGAGGTGATTATTGGCAGCTACTGTATAGAGGAACTGGTTTGCAGCAACTTTATATGTAGTCTCCAAAAGAAGTAAGGGAAACAGCTGATATAAAATCCAATTTGATTTTTTTGTTTATTTTATATGAAAAAGATGAGAGAAAAGAAGAGAAGAAAGAGGGTCAGATGGTTGTATGCAAATAAAGCATGACAAAAAGCCATGGGCTTGTAGTAAGTAGAAGTTTGTTGCCATGGGTGCTTAGCTACGAAACCTCTTTGGGATACAGTGGGGTGGCAGTTTAGAGTCTGGATCTTGAATCTGTAATATTTGTGCAGTACGTAAGGAATGCAATCAGTGCATTGCATGCAGCTCCTTACCTATCTACCCATACACAGAGATTTTTTTTTGAAATGGTACCTAGTCAATGGTCTAATATCACTGCCATCATTGCTGCTTCTGCTTTTTGTCTGTTTCTGGTAATGTCCCTTCTGTGCTGGGCACTCTCATAAGAAGGTAAGTTTCCTGTGCTGAAGAGAGCAGAGTCTGGAAGATGGACAAAGGGCAGGTGAAAGGGACGTAGAAAAAATATATTGGCCAAGCTCCATTCTATATAATAAAATGTATTAATAGCATGATGGGGTTTTTAGATTGTACATAATTTCAGTCATCACAATCTAACCATAATTTGACAGTTAATTTCTTGTATGTGTCATTAGAAGTGGGTCTCTTGGAGCCATTTGAATATGGAGGCAATAGTAGCCTTGAGGACCATGTCAGGAAGGACATTCCATGAATAGGAGGTGCCATAGGTTATAGGAGTGGAAAGGACCTTTTGAGTCATTGAGTCCAGCTTCCTGCAATAGCAGGAAACCCAATCACTTAATCATGTTCCTCAACATGCAAGATTGTGTGGAAATGTTTGTAGGCAAGTGGATAAGCAGAGCAACAAGGTTGACATCATTGGTGGAGTGGAGGGGACAGGAACGGGGTGAGAATGTAAGATATGAGTTTGGCTAAGATATGAGTTTGAGCAGGGCAAAGATATGTATGGTTTTCTAGGCCATCACATGAAGCTTAAATTTGATATGATAGAGAAAGTGGAATTTGGGGGGACAATATTTTTCATTGACTGGAGGGAAGAAAATTGGTGGCAAAGAGAGGGTTACAATAATCAAGATTAGAGATAGTGGCCGAAATGAAATTACTAGCAGGGTGGAAAGAAACACATACTACCCAGAAAATCTTTACAGGAAGAAGCATAGGATTTGAATTCAGAGGAGGAGGATCCACCCAAAGAGATGTTGTATAAGCATCCAGAAGGGTAGCAGGAGAAAAAGGAAGATGTTATCAGGAAAGCCAAGGTGGATAAGATGGGAAGAAAAAGGATTCATTGATGTATAGATTCCAAGGCCAGAAGGGATCATTGTGGCCATCTATTTTGGCCACCTATATAACACAGGCCATAGAACTTCACCAGTATAATTCAAAGAGCATATTTTATATAAAAACACCCAATCTCAATTTAAAAATTTCCAGTGGTGGAGAATCCACCATAACTCTTGGTAAATTGTTCCAATGGTTAATTACCCTCACTGTCAAAAATGGTACAACTTATTTCCAATCTGAATTTGTCTAGCTTCAATTTCTAGCCACTGGATCATGTTATACCTTTCTCTGCTAGATTGAAGACCCGTTATTAAATATTTGTTCCCCATGTAGATACTTATAGCCTGCAATCAAGTCACCCCTTAGCTTTCTTTTTGTTAAGCTAAAAAGATTGAGCTTCTTGCCTCTGTCACTATAAGGCAGGTTTTCTAATCATTCTTGTGGCTCTTTTCTGAACCATCTCTAATTTATCAACATTTTTCTTGAATCGTGGGCACCAGAACTGACCAGAGTATTCCAGCAGCAGTCGCACCAGTGCCAAATGTAAAAAATAACCTCTCTGCTCCTACTCAAGATACCCCTATTTATGCATCCCAGGATCGCAGTAGCTCTTTTGGCCACAGCATCATATTTGGAGCTCACGGTCAGCTGATTATCCACCACAACCACGAAATCTTTTTCAGAGTCTCTGATTCCCGGGATAGCCCCCCCATCCTACAACTATGGCTTTCTTTTTAGATGTATACATTTACATTTAGACATATTAAAACACACATTGTTTGCTTGTACCCATTTTACCAAGCAATCCACATCACTCTAAATCAGTGACCTGTCCTCTTCATTCATTATGAAGTGGGGAGGGAACTCCAGCTATTAGAAAGAGACAGGTATTAGTAATGGACGATTTGATCATTAGAAATATAGATAGCTGGGTTTGCGATGACCAGGAGAACTGCATGGTAACTTGCCTGCCTGGTGCCAAGGTTGCGGATCTCTCGAGACATCTAGATAGACTTATGTGCAGTGCTGGGGAGGAGCCAATGGTTGGGGTACATGTAGGTACCAGTGACATAAGGAAGGATAGGAAAGAGGTCCTGGAGGCCAAATTTAGGCTGCTAGGTAAGAGACTGAAGTCCAGGACCTCCATGGTAGCATTCTCTGAGATGCTTCCAGTTCCACGTGCAGGGCCAGTTAGTCAGGCAGAATTGCAGAGTCTCAATTCGTGGATGAGACGATGGTGTAGGGAGGAGGGGTTTAGATTTATTAGGAACTGGCAAACTTTTGGGAAAGGGGGAGCCTATACAGGAAGGATGGGCTCCACCTAAACCTAAATGGAACTAGATTGCTGGCACTTAAAATGAAAAAGGTCGTAGAGCAGTTTTTAAACTAAGGGCTGGGGGAAAGCCAACAGGTGCGGAGGAGCACGTGGTATGGACAGACATCCCTTGGGGAGGATCTATTAATCAAGAATCTCTATGTCCTAGTGAGGACGAGAGGATGGAAAATGGTAAAATACAGGCAGAGTCTGATCAGAAACAATCAAATAAAAAAAAGTCCCATTCAATTACATCGTGTAATGGCACACAGCTAAAAGGAGACAAGTTTTTTAAGTGTTTATA